GGAACAATGCACCCGAGCCCAGAATGGTCTCTGACACACCACGACACATCTTGATGCTTCTAATATCTTATTCTCATAAGGCAAGATCCTTTCAGACCATCTAGGTGACACTGAGAAGACAAGAACAAGCGGAAAGGATCTCCCATTGGAGGGGCTACAACTGGGAGAGTAAGGAGGAATGATCACTATAGTTCATTGGACTAAGTCTGAGAAAAAATCATCATCCTAGAATTAACGGTATCCCAGAAAGGATAAAACATTAAGCGTACCAGAAGAAATGTTTCAATGAATGAAAAGGGTGATTGTTTAATATATATTAATGGTGATCATGTTATCCAATTTGTTGTCACCACAGTATTCACATTAATTATATTGCATTGGCATTGTTTATTATGACAAGTAATAATTAAGGCTGGGGGTGTGGCTCTACCGTGGAGCACTTGCCTAGCATGAGTTCCATAACCAAGATCAGAAAAACAAAGAAAATTATCGGCCAGGCGTGGTGGTGCACACCTTAATCCCAGTACTTGGGAGGCTGAGGCAGGAGGACTGCTGTGAGTGAGTTTGAGGCCAGCCTGGGCTACATAGTGAGTTCAAGGCCAGCCTGAGCTACATAGCAAGAATCTGTCTTAAAAAAAACCAAAGGGGGGGGGGGGGAAGAAGGAAACTATTAAGTACATTCGTTTATTTCTTCTACAATATCAAAATGTACAGTTACAAGGTCACTGGCTGAGAGGACATAGCTATATATGACTTTAGAATGAAAATCGATAAAAGAAAGGAAGTAAAATATTAGAAGGGTGTAGAATTCAAGCACATTGCAATATAATTAGTTACAATCTTGACAGAGGGCTCATTACAATACCAATTTAAATTTGAAGCAAATGAACAGACATGATGATTCATGGCTGTTATCCCAGCACTCAGGAGGCTGAGGCAGGAGGATCCTGAGTTTGAGGCCAGCCTGGGCAACACAGTGAGCACCGTCTCAAACAAAGAAACACACAAGTGAAGCACAAACATTATAAAAGTGATCTGTATTACCAGATGGATGAATGCTCCAGGTTGCAAGGAAGAAAACATGATCTGCAAAGATCCATTCCATGAGAAGGACTTCAGGTAATGAATCAGTTTGATTATGCTGCACACCAAAACCCCCCAAAACTTACTGGCTGAAGTCCACTCTTATTTTTTCCCATTCTGTAAGTCAGTTGAACAACTCTTCTGGTCCGACCTGGTTTGGCTGGTGGTGAAGGGTCACTGGTCTTTGGAAGTGGCTGGTCCTGGGAACACACAGGGGATGGCCGTTCTGCTCCACACCATCTGACATCCTGTCCATGCCTGCAGGCCTAAGGATCCCCACACTCAGCAAGAGACAACCCCAAAGGGTCACCTTTGCTCTTGCCTCACTGGCCAAAAGCAGGCCGATGACCAAGCCTCTGCAGGGTCCGTGTGCAGAAGCATGACTTAGGCAGTGCGAGCATACGGACGAGCATTATTGCAACTACAACTGGTAAACAGTTTGATCGTACCAGGTATGGCAGCTTATGCCCATCATTCTGGGAGGCTGGGACAGGAAAATTACAAGTTGGCGCTCAGCCAGGGCAACTTAGCAACTTAGATATGGTCTCAAAGTAAAAAAAAATTTGTTTGGTTTTTGTAATTTTTTAAATGTTTACTAGTACACGTTTGCAGTACATAATGATTACATCTACCATGGAGAGTTGGTACATGTGCATAATATATCTTAATTCTTATTTCCCCTTCTCTTCTCACTCCCATCCTTTCAATTCTTTGTCCCCTTCCCATTTGTAAAAGATCTGTCTCCCTATTTTCTATTATGTACTTTTTATTTCATTCTTCAAAGCATTTATACTTTGGGTTTCTCATATAACAAAATCCACGTGATATTGTGTTTATTTTTTATTCTATTTATTTATTTTTTGGCACTGGGGATTGAACTCAGGCCCTTGCTCTTGCCAGGCAGGCGCAGCACCACTGAGTTACCTCCCCAGCCCTATTTTATTTCACTTAACATTTTTGTCTCAAGATGCATCCATTTTCCTACAAATGACGTAAATTTGTCCTACTTTATGGCTGAGTAGTATTCCACTGCAGATAAACACCACATTTTCTCTATCCACTCATTTGTTGATGGATATATAGGACACTTTCAAAATTTAATTGTTATGAGTTTTTCTGCTATAAACATAGGTAAACATGTGTCACTATAATATGTCTTTAGTTTTGGGGGGAAGATAGGGAAGGGAAATAGCTAGGGAAAGAGCTAGGTTGAATGGGATTTCCATTTTTTAATTTTTTGAGGAATCTCCATACTGATTTCGATAATGGTTGTACTAGTTTACATTCCCATCAACAATGTAGAAGGCCTCGCAAGTGGAAGGACCCGAGTTCGATCGCCCGGACCAAACAAAACAAAACAAAACAAAACAATGTAGAAGGATTCCTTTTTCCCCATACCC